TTGGTGATAAGACCCACCACTGTAGTGTCGTCCGCAAACTTCACAATGATGTTGGAGCTGCTGGTGGCTGTGCAGTCGTAGGTGTAGAGTGAGTATAGGAGAGGGCTCAGTACACACCCCTGTGGAGCACCAGTGTTCAGTGTGATGGGGGATGAGGTGATGCTGCCCAGTCTGACCACTTGGCGTCCGTCAGACAGGAAGTTAAGGATCCAGTTGCAGAGGGAGCTGCTCAGTCCTAGATCCTGCAGTTTTCTGTCCAGCTTCGAGGGAACGATGGCTTTTCTCTGCACCTGTTTCAGTTCCTCGGGTGGGGAAGTCTTCTGTTTCCACTCGTTCACCGTCGTGTCATTGATGTTGTCGCTGGTAGTTCCTTCAGCCAGCCAGCGAGCCATTTCCTGCTTCAGTTCTGTTCGTTCATTTCGGTCAGCAATAAACACCAGCCTTCACCTGTGAGTCCAGCGTTTGGGTCCTCCTTTCCTCACCCACACTGCAACCACTGACAACAGGCTCAAAGTGGTCACAAGCAACCAAGTTGGCATATAAACAGATGGGTCGGAAGGATAATATGAGACCTGATATCTGTGATCCCGTTAATAAAGAATTTCAATAAGTTTTCACATGTTGCTTTTGATGCTATGTGGGGAGCAGCAGTAGGGGGATTAAGAACTAAGTTAGTGATTAATACGAAGTCTGTGACTGTTATCAGACACGATCTTAGAGAAATACTTTGTTTTTGCTGCACTAATAGCCTTTTGATCATTTAACAATATAAATATTAAAACTAAATTTGCAATAAAATTTGTCTTGCATCTTAATACCAGTATAACGGTCTGTATAATTTTCGAGGTCTACAAATAAAAAACCAGATAATAGATTGCATTTATATAGCGCTTTATGAGACCCTCAAAGCGCTTTACAATTCCAGTATTCATTCACTCTCACATTCACACACTGGTGGAGGCAAACTACAGTTAATAATAATAATAATGAATTTTGTTTATAAAGCGCCTTTTCAAGACACCCAAGGACACTGTACAATAGATAAAAACACATAATAGAACAATGAAGAACAATAAAAACAAAAGCACGAGATAAAATTAACAAACAGTGGATTCACACTGAATATGCAGATTTGAACAGGTGGATTTTGAGTTGGGATTTAAACTGGGGGAGAGAACCAGTGTTTCTTATATTTGGGGGTAGAGAGCTCCACAACCTGGGAGCAGAACCGCTAAAAGCTCTGCTTCCCACGGTGGTGAGGCGGAAGGAAGGCACAGAAAGCTGGATAGAAGAAGAAGATCGAAGTGAACGGGCAGAAAAGGTAGTGCTTAACAGGTTAGGAATGGCCTTGAAGGTGAGCAGAAGAAGTTTGTATATCATCTGGATTTTCACTGTGAGCCAGTGAAAATCCTGAAGAGCAGGTGATGTGCTGGTAGGAGGGCTTCTGGTGATAATGCGAGCAGCAGAGTTCTGAACCAGTTGAAGCTGATGGAGAGATTTTTGGGGAAAACCATGCAAAAGAGAGTTGCAGTAGTCATATGGGAGGTAACAAGACTGTGGAGAAGAATGGACGTAGACTGGGTGGAAAGAGAAGGAAGCAATCTGTTAATGTTACGTAGATGGAAGTAGGCAGAACGGGTAAGATTATTGATGTGAGATTTATAGGAAAGTGAACTGTCTAGGATGACACCAAGGCTCTTAACCTGAGGAGAAAGGAAAACTGTGGAGTTATCGATAGTGAGTGAGTCAGAGTCAGTTTTTACAGGCTTACATACACACGCAGTTACTGTCCCTCCATTTAAAAAGGCAGAGGCGTCACGATGTGATTATTTTACGTGTAGTTGTTTTTTATTTCCTGTGTAATAATATTAATTTATTTGTATCCTGCTGTAACTTTACTGTATAAAGAGCTAACATCTCCAAAATGTCAGGAGTAATTAGTCATTATAAGAAGTGTTTGTGAACTAAAACTCAAGAATGTGGGATACTGTTTGTCCGTAATTTAAACAGCCCACCGCTGCTCCAGACACAGGGAAAACCAATCCTGCAGGGAGACCTACCTCGGCACTTGTGCAGGTGACGCCAAAGGGAAGATTTGCTTCACCATATTTTCTAGTCTTTGGCTTAGAATGAAGTTGGTTTGGAAACATATTCAGCGATGCTTCATCTCCTGCTTTGCGTTTGTGTGGGCGCCCCGTGCTAGCAGTGTCCAAGTGTTTTGTTTCCCCCCCCCTTTTCATACCGCGCCCCCCCTGCAATGGCTCTGCGCCTCCCCTAGGGGGCGGGCCCCACACTTTGGGAAGGTCTGCTGTAAGGGAAGAAGGTGGGAGGGAGGAATCAGGTCTGCAGGAGAGATATAACTGGGTGTCATCAGCAAAACAGTGAAAGTGAAGTTCAAATTTGCAGAAAATGGTACCTAGAGAGAGGATGTAAATTTGAAGAGAAGAGGGCCTAAGACTGAACCTTGGGGTGCACCAGAAGGGACCGGGAAAAGACGAGAGCAGAATGATTTCAGTTGAATAAACTGGGAGCGGTCAAGGAGATATGATTGAAACCAGGCTAGGGGTGTAGCCACAGCTGCCCTGGGGCAGACTGACAGAAGCGAGGCTGCCATCGGACCCTCTGGCCAACACTAGTAGGCAGTAGGGTGAAGTGTCTTGCCCAAGGAAACAATGACCAGGACAGACAGAGCTGGGGATCAAACCGGCAACCCTCCAGTTATAAGATGAGTTTCCCAACCCGCTGAACCACAGTCACCCAGATGAAATCATGGGAGGGAGAAGACTGTCAATGTGAAGCCGGAGGACCTATTGGAGGCTTGCTGTTTATAGCTGAATTGCTTGATGACAGAACTCAAACTCACCCACATCAAGATGGCTGTTAAGCTCCGCCCACCCCAGTCACACAGGTTAAAGAGCAGGAAACAGCTGACAGGAATGAAGTACTGGTCTGTAAATCAAACAATTATTTGAATGTTTGCGTGTATCAGTAGAACAAGGAAAAGGAAACGGGGGGCAAATTCACGCAGATAAACATAGAACAAAACACCACAGAAGAAGAAAGGTTAACATTAGCCGTCATTTCAACAGAAAACGAGGTATTGACCGACCCCAGGAACCTCCGTCACTGAGCGTGGATTTGGTGTCGGCAGTGACGGCGGGAAATGTGCCAATGGTTACAGTGAAGGTAAAACAGACTGACAGGGCCAAGATCCAAATCTGAGGGCCAAAGGTCAGAGGTCAGACATTCCCTTTAAAGAACAAACTACAGTTAATATTGATTATAGATTGTTTCTTGATCAGTTAAGTAATGTGTAGCTGACCTTCTTAAAGATTTTCAGCATGGAGACGTCCTGAGGCTTTTTCTGATCAGCTACTGCATCTTTACATAAACAACAGAATAAACAACAAAACAACGTAAATGATAGGATAAATAAAACACATGACAGCAGAGCGCTGTAACTGTGATGCCAGATTAATGATTTAGCAATCTGTGTCAATCTCAAAGTGAGATTTTTCTGTGTGGTTCTCTTTTCACCTGATGAGTAACCACGGTAACAGAGTAGTGGGTTATGTTCAGAGCCAGTGAAAGCATTTCACAGACTCTTTTATGTTTTTAGTATGATGGAGGTTTTCTATCTGCAGCTTTTTCCAGAAAACAGTGAATGAAGCCCTGCTGGAAAGCTCCAGCAGCTCAGACTGACTGGAGTTCCATGCTCCAGACCTTACTATTTCTTTGACTGGAGAAAGCGGGTGCTCACAGGAATAGTTTTGTGTGAAAGAAGAGTGACATGGAGATTTATTATGTTTTGTATGTTTCAATTTGTTTTACCCCTCTGTGAAGCGCTGTCTTATAGTGGTGGAGGAGTTTGTGTGTCCCAGAGATCCCAGGGGCTATGTTGTTGTGGGGCTTTTGCTCCTTGGTAGGGTCACCCATAGCAAATTGGTTCTGGGTGAGTGACCAGACAAAGAGTGATTCAAAAGACTCTTATGTGTACATGATCAAGGGAACAGTTCTTCCTGCCCGGGATAGAGCTAGAGGGGCCACGCCTGGAGCCAGGCCTGAGGAAGGTGCCGAAGGGAAAGCACTTGGTGGCTGGGATAGCCCATGTAGCACGGCCAGGCACACCTGGGGAAGGGACATGGGGCCACCTGCAGGAGGTGCTGTAGCGGTCTGATGAATTGTGTGCCTGGTGGTGGCCACGGCAGAGACCCTGGTGATCCATGGCTACCGAGCCTGGCAATTGGGACATGGAACATCACCTCTCTGGTGGGGAAGGAACCTGAGCTAGTGTGTGAGATTGAGAGGTACCAGCTAGATATAATCGGTCTAACCTCAATGCAATGAGCTGTCAACTGATCAACACCTGGTGGTGAGTTGGATCAGGTGGATGGGGGATAACGCTAGACAAACCCTGCACACCTAAACGTATAGTGATGGTGCACTGGGAATACCTAGCAGAAGCTCTGGTCTGCTAAATCTTCAACTCCCACCTGCTGCAGAGCTTTGACAGCATTCTGAGGGAGACTGGGGACATGAGGTCTGAATGGGCTGTGTTCAGTCTATCTGTGTCCTCCATTGCTGAGGCTGCTGAACTGAGCTGTGGCTGCAAGGTGGTTGGTGTCATTAGCCTGAAGAAGGAGCCCTATCGGGTTGGCCTGGTTAGCCTGTGGCACTCGACTGGTACCAGCAGACCAAGCAGAATGCAGATCAGGCAGTGGCTTAAGCAAAAACCATGGAAAAAGACTTGATTTTTTCCAGTTTGCCAGAAGTGATTCTGGACCAACTCCTCATGCTCTTGGGGATATTTGAGGGTGCATGGGAGTTTGTCTGACCACTTCGTATGTTTTTTGGACATAAGAACTGCATGCATCAGAGTGTTTGGGAGGTGCTTGGGGAGTACGGGGTGTGTAGCCTGTTGTTAAGAGCTATTCAGTACTTATACAACCGTTGGAAGAGCTTGGCAGGCAATAAGTTGGACTCCTTCCCAGTGTGTGTTGGACTCTGCCAGAGCTGGCCTTTGTCACCAATTCAGTTCATTTTTATGGACAGAATTTCTCGGCGTAGTAAAGCAGCAGAAGGCTTCAACTTTGGTGATTTCAGAAACTCACCTCTGCTTTTTGCAGCTAACGTGGTTCTGTTTGCTTCATCAGGTGGTGGCCTCCAGCTTGCACTGAAGCAGTTCACAGCTGAATGTGAAGCAACGGGAATGAAAATCAGCACCTCCAAGTGTGAGGCCATGGTGCCTAGTCCAGGTCAGAAAGAAGTTGCTGCCCTCAATGGAGGAGTAAGTATCTTTGAGTTTTGTTCATGAACGAGATGAAAGGGGAATAGGAGATTGACAGATAGATATGGAGGACTGGACAGATTGTACGATTGGACTGTCTCACCAGGTGGAGGGCCCTTGGCAGACCCAGGACACCCTGGAGAGATTATATCTCTCAGCTGGCCTAGGAACCTCTTGGTGTTCCAAGCTGAAAGAGGTGGATGGGAGAGGGAGGTCGAGGCTTTTCTACTTAGACTGCTGTCCCCAGAACCGAGTCATGGAAAAGTGGGAGATAATGGATGGATGGAAGCATGAATGTTCTTATTTCAGTTTATCCCAAAAAGTTAAATCTGTTCATCTGGACATAGTGAGAGTAACATTTCATCACTCATCCAGGTGACTTCTTCAGTCTCAGCTGACTGCAGATTTTCCTAACCTTATAAACAGTACATTTGTATAATGACTGGAACTAGCAGCTGAATGAACAATGTTCAGTTTCAAGTAAATAACCTGTGTGGAAAATATAAAAAGTAGCAAGGAGAGATAACTTTTCATGAAGACCTTAAGCCGGTTTGAGGTGATAAGCAAAAGGTTTTTAAAAAATATTTTTTGTACCTCTGTTCATCAGGCTGATCGAATTCTGCTCCAGAGAGATCTGCTTTGTGTTTCTCTCCTGATAAAAGTGGAAAAACTCCTGAAAACACAAACAAAACAAAAGTCTATTAGCACTCACTCATGATGCCTTGAAAGGGGCAAGCTGAGGATGGAACAGAGTCTGTGAGATCTGATTTCTTAAGGATGCACTGAGCTGGCGGCTGTGGGAGGGGCTAGTACTGCAATGATGCATGATGTGTTTGTGTTCCATATTTTGTATCTCAGGTCTTGGAGATGGAATAAAAGGACAACGTACCAGTTTGGGCAGCAGGATGTAGGAGAGAATGGACAAAAAAATAACCACACAGGCTGTGATGAAATACCCAAACGCTGCATCCTGAAGCTCCGAACCGCCTGTACCCGAAAAAGACAGAAAATCAACCTTTTATAATCTCTGTGTACTGACATTCAAGTTCCTGCAAAGTGTCATAAAACTGAATCCAATGAGTTATTGGTGAGTTATTGATCAGACTTGCTATGGCGCAGATCATGGCGAAGGCGGCAAAGGTCCCAGCGAGTCCCTGACCACTCATGATGGGAGTTGTGTATGAAGCTGGGAGCAATCCAGCCATCCCGAAAAGGCTCCCCTGTAGCACTGCCCCGAAGGCTGAACAAACAAACAAACAACCAGATTAACAGAATGGCCTGTGGCATGCCCAAAGGCTGAACAGACAGACAGACGAACGAACGAACCAATCCAATCCAATCCAATCCAATTTTATTTATAAAGCACTTTAAAATATCCAGCACAGGACCAAAATGCTGTACAGAAAAAAAGTTAAAAACAATAGAACAACAGAAAACAGCAAAAATAAATAAATAAAACACATAATACATAAAAATTAAAACAGCCCCATGTTAAAAAACAAAACAAGATAAAACAGCATGGAATCAACTAAAATAAAAATAAAAACCAACATCTCACGTGGTGTCAAAGGTCAGGGTAAAGAGGAGGGTTTCAGGAGTGACTTAAAAACAGGCAGTGAAGAGGCCTGTCTAATCTCTAAAGGAAGCTCGTTCCACAGTTTGGGAGCTGCTACAACAAAAGAGCTTTAGAAGTAAATAAAAGAATTTTAAAATGAATCCTAAAAGAAATGGGCAGCCAGTGAAGTGAAGCTGAAATAGGGGAAATGTGCTCAGACTTTCGAGTGCCAGTTAAAAGACGAGCTGCGGCATTTTGCACCCTCTGTAGATGAGTAATATATGTACTGGGAGTGTATAGACACTGACCCCTATATAAAGTGCATTACAGTAAGCCGAGTGCTAACAAAGGCGTGGATCACTGTCTCAAAGTGCTGCCGTGAAAGACTTGGCTTTATTTTTTTATACACATTGGGCGTCTCAGTGGGGCTACCAAAGACCATCACCTCAGTCTTTTTATCGTTGAATTTTAAAAAGTTAACAGACATCCAAGCCTTAATGTCATCGAGACACTGAAATAATGGCTGTGTGAGGTAAGTGCCTTTTTTTCTTTAGAGGGACATAGATCTGACAGTCATCAGCATAAAAGTGGAATGCAATGCCGTGCTTTCTCAGTACAGAACCAAGAGGAAGCAGATCTAAAGAAAAGAGGAGGGGGCTAGAACTGAGCCCTGTGGGACACCACACAAAAGAGGGGCGGAGGACGACACATGGTCACAGTTCGCCCCACCAAGTAGGACCTGAACCACTCCAGTGCTGTGCCCCTAATGCCCACCCACTACTCCAAACGAGAGAGTAAAATGGCGTGATCCGCTGTATCAAACACAGCTGTCAAATCCAAAAGCACCAGAACAACACAGTCCCCAGCGCCATTTAGCTAAAAATATGTCATCAAAAAACTTTGAACAGGGCTGATTCAGTGGTATGAAAGGATTTAAAACCAGATTGGAAAACCTCTAAAACATTTTGCTTTCCCAGTTCATCAACGACCTCATGTTGGTATCGGCTCTAAGGTTTTTTTGTGTGTTTGAGTCCAGTTTAGCTATCGGCCTGTGGCCATTGTAACAGTAAATTCAGTGACCAAACCTGATTCTTATCCTTTGCCTCATAGTGACGACTGTATTGACCAAGTTGGTGCAGCAGAAAATGTAAGAAAGTTCGATCTGTTGAAGGGATATTGGCAGGTGCCAATGCTTTCATCACGCCATCTGGTCTTTATTCATATACAGTCATCGGTTTTGGTTTACAGAATGCTCCAGCCACATTTCAACGATTTATGAGTTTGGTTGTTAATGTGCCGAAAGGCTGTGCTGTTTACCTAGATGACGTGGTGGTTGAGCGAGTAGTTGGAGGAAGCATTGGGAATTGGAGACCCTGCAGGCTTAAAACGACCAACAGTTTCCTTTAAAAAGGACAGAGTCACAGGCTCAAACCTGTCAAAGACAGCAGAGCAGGAAGCAGAGACTGAGAGGTCTTTTTTTTTTTTTGCTGCTTCCGGTGTGATGCCGCCTGTGTTTGGCTCTGCCGCGGCCGGGTGCAGTTTGTCGCGCTCCACTACTTTTATATTATTTTTTTCCACTCTGCTGTTCTCATTTAGTTTTAATGATGTATTGGCTGCCTTGGTGTATGATCATCTGTCTTTGCTATCCATCCAATTCTCTATGATGCCTTACGATGTCTCTTCATCCTCCTTCGGCATTTTCCACCCTCCTCCATCACCATTCGGCGGATCCTCTATACCACGGAGAAGAAGAGGGAGAAGGGGAGGTATTCAGGTAAAGCTCAGGCTTTACTGGCGCCGGGGTTTGACATCAAAGCCCTCCTCAACAACAAGAAGAGGGCTTTCAGAGGGGGCAATAAAGAGGAGGTGAGGAAGGTCCAGGTGTTACTAAAGGACAAGATCAGAGAGGCTAAGGACAATTACAGGAGGAAGCTGGAGTGGAAACTCCAGCAGAACAGCATGAGAGAGGTGTGGAGGGGCATGAAGACCATCACTGGATTCAGGCCAACCAACAGCAGGGGAGCTGAGGGAGGTAAGAACAGAGCCAACGAGTTGAATCTGTTTTTCAATAGATTCGACACCACAGTGTCTGCTCCCACCCCCACAACCTCACCTGTAGTCAGCCTGGAACCCAGAGCCACACCACTGTGCCAGCCTCTCTCTTCACATGTTGCCTCCTGTGAGATTCCTGACACCCCTCCCCCACCCATCACCTTCACTCAATACCAGGTTGAGATGCAAATGAGGAGACTTCACTCAGGCAAGTCTGCTGGACCAGACGGAGTGAGTCCCCTCGTCCTCAAGACCTGTGTCCCCCAGCTGTGTGGAGTCTTTCATAAACTGTTTATGCTGAGTCTGAGTCTGCAGAGGGTCCC